CCAGTATTTAAAATTGTCTGCTTTTAATGCTTGCCCAGTTAATTGAAAGCTGAATATTTTGGGTAGAACCTGGAATTTTTGCAATAGATTCTTTCAGTGGCTTGAGTTCTCCCATATACAAAATGGGAAAAACAGTGGTCTACCTTGCAACCCTGTTGTGAGAACAAACCAAATATAGATCTATTAAAATGCAATTTCATCTATTCTACATATAATGGGGAGGTGAGACGTCTTATTGTAAAACCCTGGAAAACAGAGAGGTTGTTGTGTTTTAACAATGAGAAGAAAAATAAAATCTTTTCTCCAGTGCCCTTGAAAATCTCACACATGTATCACTTTCCTCAACCTGGTGTCCTTCCATGCTTACTGGGGTTGATGGGCACTGGAGTCCAACATTCCTGGCAGTCAGTCAGTTGGGGAAGACTGCTTTCCTAGTAGCTTGTGTTGGAGAGCTCTATCCACTGCCAAGGAGGTATTTAAAATCACAGTTTATGTTCCAGGCTGGGTCTCCAGCATGCTATGATTTGCATGTTCAATGTTGGCCTTTTCCTAAAGACAAAACACTTTTGAAAAGAAGAAGGGAAAGGTGGAAGGTGCCTTTTTCTGGCACCAGGTTTTCAAGGCCCCATTTCCGAACACGAATGACAAAGGCTTCCTGCTACTTATGAGATCCCTTTCACTTTCTGGTGTGTCAGGTGCATAGGAGGTAGCAGCAGTCACTGTTGGAGCATGCTATAATGGCAGGGAACACAATTGATGGGAGATGGAACTCTTGGCAGCCATTCAAAAGTCAGTCCCCTTCAGTTCCATGGGTATTACTCCTGAGTAAGCATTGTGGCCGGACCCATTTTCCAGAGTGCTGCGTAATAATCTGGCATTGACATGAACAGGGTTGTTTCCCTGGGGCGGCCTTCTTTAACCCAGAGCTCTCCAGACATATGAGACTAGAATGGTAGAATGACTACATCCCTGTTAGCCCCAGAAAACCCTGGTTGGGGATGGTGGTTGTTGTAGTCCCACAATCTGGAGAGCATTTGCTTTGTTGGGGAGGCTTCCCCAGGGAAACAGTCCTGTGGATTTCAGTTGTGGAATGGAAAACAAACACAGTCCTCTCCTATCTTTAGCTAGGCACAAGATGCTTTATCCGTGAATAGAAGATGGGTGTGTGTTCTCAAATGTGCTTCTCTATTCACCACTTGGTTTAGGGTCATTGATGCAGAGAAAGAGTGGAAAACATGGAAAATTCCTCTGTGCCGATAGTAGAAAGAGAATCGTATATTATTTGTTCTGAGGTGTTGTATCCTTGCCTCTATGTTCTGCAGTGCTTTGAGAATTCTTACAGTAAAACTTGGCTGTGCTCAGAGGCAGGCTTACTCAGTATGTTTCAGGAAACTCACATTCTGTGGCTTGCTTGTGTCACATTTCAAAAACAACCAAGGGCCAGCCATTTACTTGGAATTACACTCCCCTGCTTCCTCCAGGATTAACAGCGCAGTCCTATCTATGGCTACTCAGAAGTATGTCCAATTGGGTTAATGGGAGTTACTTCTATGTAAACGGGCACTGGGTAGCAGACTAATTTTTTAATGGCAACTGATGTAAGGTCAATAGACAAATGAAGAAGACCAAGCCACAAATGCCTTCTTTCATTTTTTAGTCGCTCTGCCGTTGTCCAGTTTATAAATTAGACTCCACTATCATACCCAGTATCACCAGCTGATCCTGCACAGTGTTTACACAGAAGTAAAGCCAACTGTGCTCCAAGGGACACACAGAATTATAGAGCAGAAGTAAAGCCCAAAGACTTCAGCAGGCTTTTCTTTGTATTTTCTCTTTGTATTTCAAAGAGCTAGCTCTGAAGAACTTCTGTGGAGATTGAATTAGTGTTCCAATCAAAAGTTGGTCATCTTGATATCAGTGGATCTGAGTCCCAGATATGATTGTTCAGGAAGTTCTCTAGGGTAAGCCCCTTCACTGGAGAGCCAGTGTGGTGTAGTGGTTAAGAGCATGGGACTGGGACTCAGACGATCCAGGTTCTAGTCCCCGCTCAGCCATGGAGCCAACTGGGTGACTTTGGGCCAGTCACAGACTCTCAGCCCAATGTACCTCACAGGGTGGTTGTTGTGGGGATAAGATGGAGGAGGAGAATGATGTAAGCTGCCTTGAGCCCTTTGTAGGAAAAAGTCAGGATATAAATCGAAAAATAAATAAAATAAATAAAAAAAACAAATAGGTGGATGTTGCTGCAGAATTTGCACCCATATCGAAACTATGTGTATTTGCTCCTTCAGAACAGAACCATTGATTTAAATGGAAACATGCATCCTGATTCTATATTTAGCAAAGGATTTCAATGGAACTTACTTCCAAGTTAAGTCTTGAGAAGTATATAATAGAGCCCCCCCAACTGAGGCTTGATTGCAAGGAATTCAAGAGAAGCGTAACTCAAACACTCCATTCTAGGCAAGTTTATTCCAAAGAAAATTAAAGAATATCCAGCAGCTTTACTCCCAGTTTAGTCTACATTGCCGAAGGCTGCCCTTATATACGGACTTAGCTTGGGAGTCAGAGCTACTGAATTCAATAGGGCTTACTTCTGAGTAAAATTGAACAGAATCATACGGTGCATGTATCATTGGAAGTATATCCCTCTGAGTTCATTGTAGACATCTGAATCTATCCATCTACACATATTTTCTGACCCAGGGTGCCTGTTCTCACCTCTGTATATCTGCAGAGAATGTGGTTATGGTTACAGTTTTCAATCAACCAGGAATTGCCTCGAATAGAACCTTTCCCTTTTGGAAAGTTTGTTGCCTCCATTCTTTTGGCTTGGGTTTAAAGGAAATCCTGCAGGATCCTCTTTCACATTAATTCAGTTCAGTAATTCTCCAGGAACCTGTCAAGATTGGCTCCCCAGCCAAGAACAAGTCCCACTAAAATCAGGGACTAGAGTGTGAGTAAGAAATGTCCATATAATAAAAAATATTTGGAACAGGGAAGACAGGAACCATTGTGTGCATACAAAGGTTGAGGAGGCCAGGAAGAATCTTGCAAGAGCTTTTATTTTTTATGGGGCTTTGAACACTGTTGGCCTATCTCCTCCCACGCCTGCTGTTGCCTCAGAAGAATGTGTTTATGCACACATTCAATAAACCATAATGAAAGAATCGCTAGCCCCATTTCAGTGGAGGCAATGGACAGGAGGATTAGAGCGCTCCTGCCCTCTTTTACTCCCACCCCACAAGTCTTCCATTCCCTTGATTGACTGATAGGCAATATATTTGACTATGGCTTGGACAACAGCAGCTGCAGGCAGGGGGAGTGTGCTGGACTTTGGAGCAATGACGGGAGCGGGCAGGGCAGCCTGCGAGTTTCTGCTTTAAAGGCTGGCTCAAGATTTCCAGGCAGCATCCAGCTGTGGGCAAATGGTGAACTTGCCCCCATTCCCTGTTTTTAGCACCTGACTTTTTCTGTCTTTTTTGTGAGTGGCTGGAGAAGGGGCTTTGGGAAAGAGATCAGCCACTTTTCCCTTGGAGATCATTCACTTTCCCCTTGGGCTTGGCATCCCCATCCTGACTCTAAATTCCTAAACTTGCAGATACATACGGATCTATAAATTCATATATACTTCAGTGTTTAATATCTAATATATCTAGATTATATTAATTAAGTTTAGTCTCTAATATAGGTACACACATGTGTAACTCCATGGAAGAATGTATGCATGCATGTAACTTTTAATTTTAAAAATGAAATACATGTATTTACATTGTATGCATACACCATGGAAGTCTTAAATTTGCCATGTGGAATACATGTCTACAGCATCAGAGAGTTGATTACTGAATGGAAGCAGAGAAAGTGGGAGCATATTTTTGAACAATGTGTGAACAGTACATAAAGATAAGAAACATTTTGTATACATTTTGTATACAAGTCTATTGCAGGGTATGGGAACCATGATCTGGGTTTAAATCCATACTGATTTATTAATTCCTGAGCCAGTCATCAATTCTGGCCAAACCTACCTCAAAGGGTTGTTGTAAAAATAAAATGTGCAAGTGGTAAACCATGAGCTCCTTGAAGAATAGATGGCATTGTGTCCTAGATACCAACAATGAAGTGAGGTTATAAGTTGTGGTACCGTTGTACCCAAAAAGGGGAACTGATGAAAAAGCTAAGTATTACTGCTACTTGAGTTCGGCAGAAGTAGAAAAAATATATTGAAGAGGCAGATTGTTGGCAAGACAGCCTGGTGTGGACTGAACATACTTGGTGGATAGGGCAGAACATTGAGTATCTGTTGGTGGGGCTGGCAGGGGAGGAAGGAGTGATGAAACAGAGTCTGTTGAAAGAAGTCTTGTGGATGGATGGCTACAACATTAAATGCTGCAATACTTCTCTATAGTGTCCGTAGTGTAAAATGTCCCATCAAAATCAGTGGGACTTAATTCTGAGGAAACGGGAAAAGGATTGCACTGTTACTGCTTAGAGTCATCAAAACAAGATCCAGTGCTTAGGACCTTTTGGGCAATGGCTAGAAATAAAATTGTAACCTCATTTACTGAGACTTTAATCCTGCACAGATCAGCTGAGTTCAGCTTGACATTCTTTGTTGTGAAAGTTTACCTGCAAATTTGTTCAGTTGTGTTTCTGAACAAATTTTGGGGTTTCTGTCCAGATAGGGCTGAATAGAGGACCCTTTAGTGTGTCTGATGGAGCGTCCTCTGGGGCACTGATTTCTGAGTAAACATGGATAGGTTTGGCCTCTTGGGAACTTAGCTGTGTTGAAATCCATGGGAGTTTGCTTTGGGTGCTATTCTAACCAGGAGGACACCCTCTCTGGGCAGTGTTTGGGGAGGAGGTGGCAGAATGGCACCCACTCCCTGTGATGTTGTAATGGGGGCTTCCAACTTCAAGAGGTGGTGGGCAATCCAAGACGGTCGGGCAGGGCTCCCTGCCGGCTTCCATGCTAACCCAGCCTTTCTTCCCTGCAGATCTCCTAGATGATCTCTCAGAGAGCCGGGAATGTGTCAATTGCGGCTCCATCCAGACCCCGCTGTGGAGAAGGGATGGCACTGGCAACTATCTCTGCAATGCCTGTGGGCTCTATACCAAGATGAACGGCCTCAGCAGGCCCCTTATCAAGCCCCAGAAGAGAGTGGTGAGTGCTGTGTGCATGCGGGTTGGGCGAAGAGGAAGGTTGGAAGCATTTTTTCTCCAGATCCAGAGATCCATGCATCCTTCTCCCATTCTGTTTTAAAATGGTATTGTTACATGTTTCTATTATATTAATGAACTCTCAATCTCATCCTCACAACAACAACAACCCTGTGAGGTAGGTTGGGCTGAGAGACTGTGACACCCTAAGTCAGCTCCATGGCTGAGTGTGGACTAGAACCCAGATTGCCAGAGTCTCAGTCCTGCACAAAACAATTCCATCAATGACAACATAGCCCTGTGAAGAGTAAGAATCACAACTCTGTGCCAGGGCTTTCTTTCCAGGAGTTTCTTATATGCTTTTAGCACCTAATCCACCACAAAGTAGGCTACAATCCTATGTGCATTTACCTGGGAGTTAGTCTCATTGAATTGATGCTGCCCAGGGCACACAATCTGTATAAGAAGTAGCAGGAAAAAATAGGGCTGTTGGTTAACAAATGTGACATTTTAAATTTGTGGACTGACTGATGACTCTGATTTTACAGATCCTCAGGCACCTTTCTGTAATAAAATACACAATCAGTTAAGTACATACCTTTAGGAATATTTAGGATTCCGAGTTCCTGTGCTACACATAAAGCCCTTCAAAAAACATAAATCTGCTTTTGATTTCCTGCCACATAACCCACCACTCATTCAAGCATGACAGTTGCATCCATTAAAATTTTTATCGGTGGCCTGAAATGTGAACTTGCACCTAGCAATATTAGGCACAGCAGAAATGAAATTATTAAAATGCATTATGTGCAACAACTATAGTCATGCACAGATTTTGTTTGAACAGTGAGATTGGGAAGGAATACAAATGGGGTACACCCTTCCTGATCTTAAACTCAGTAGCTATGCCTCCAATGTCCAATGATGCTTTAGACATGTTCCCCCTTCCCACAAAGAACACCCACCCCAAAATGGGAGCCAGCTGTTAAGTGGGGAATCAAGGAGAGAAAAATGTTTCCAATCTATGCCCATTTTCCTGGAAGTAACTCCCATTGAACACAATGGAACACCTTCATAGAGATTCATAAAATTGTACTGTTACTGCAATTAAGATTGGGATGTGATTAAAGATAGCTGAGAGTCTGATTTTAAGTGCATTCACTTTTTAATTTTACCTGCATTCACAATTTTTCAGGCAAGTTTTTTTGGGATAAGTAATGAGCTTATTATAGTTTAGCATAGACTGTTGTTGTCTGCTTGATTCCAGTGAAAGGACACAGTTGCTTTCACCTTACAAGCATTCTTTTCCAGATCATAAGGGTTATAAACATGCTCTGTTTTTCAGAAACAAAATTGAGATCCTCACTCCTGTCAAATGAGTCTTGCATTTTTTTAGGGTTGGATTTTCAGGAATTCAGAGTATGTCAGTATGCATTTGGATTAGAACCCACCAATTTCCTTGCATGCAGCAATTCATAAAATATAGCCCAAACATTCCTGGTGGTTTCTATTTTGGCAATATTTAAGTTTGTTGACCCAGGAAGCAAGTAAATGCTTACAATTCCCATTCTTTATTGAGGGTTTAAAGCTCAATAGTGCATAATTTAGGAGATGGTTCATAAAAAGTCACATATACTATGGGAATGATCTTTCACTTGATATGGCAGGTAAGCAATGCAGGAAACCAAGCATGTGAGGCAAGGTGAAAGGATGAGCTACAGAGGGAAGAAAGGTGCTAAAGGGCTTTTTTTGAAATTCATTTGTCCCTCCCATGTGCTAGCCCTCCTTTTGTCCCCAAAGTTCTTTCATCCAGAAATTAAATTGTTTCTGAGGGCAAAAAGGGACTTCAGCCTCCCTTTGCTGTGACCATTTGAGAGGACAGATTTGGGCTCAGAGACAGCACCTTTTACCTGCTTTCACCTTTCAGGCAACTATCATAGGAAGGGATTTATTCCCTTCTTTTGGCCATGAATTTCACTATCCTTGTTCAGGCTGATACAGCCACTGTGGGTTTCCTTCTGCTAGGAATATTATGTTGTTTCTGAAAGGAGGCTCACCTAGAGATATGCCAAAGGGAAATCTGTTTCTTTCAAGCCCAACAGATGTTGTACTTACTTCTGTTCCAATGATACTGTTATTAGACTGCAGCAACTATCAACCATAGCCAGAATAGCCAGTGATGAGGTATTATGGGAGTTGTATTCAATCAATACCTGGAAGGCCACATTGCCCACCCTTGTTTTGACTGGGCATTATCTCAGTTGGCCTAAAAATGCATAGGGATGGAGATATGTTTATAAAGAACAAATGATTGTATCTGATGCTTTGTTTCAGGTCCGTCCTCCCCGCCATAGCTGGAATATATTTATATTTTTCCTCTATAAAATCATGTGGCATTATTAATTTAACAATGTTCTTTCTGTATTGTAATACTATACCTTTGAATCTAGTGATGTTCTTTAGCTAGATTGTGTCATCTTGACCACACCTCAAGGAGGAAAAAAACCCAGTGCCCTCCAGGTATAGACAATTTAAAAGTCACACTAGATTGGATTATCATCTATTCAAGAAGTCCCTGAAGCCAAAGGGCTTTTCTACTTTCATCACTGCTGAGATTTCGTAACTAGTTATCTACTCAGTTTAAGTATGACATAATATACCTAGAGCAATTGTTTCCTCTGCTAGGTCTTCCCTTAATTCATCCCCATTCCACCTTGTTTTGGGGAAGCTCCTTCTAGAAATAAAGGATGTTTTAGGATGTTTCATAAATATGTGCCTACGCATTTCAAACAAACAGACGGGAGGTTAGAACCAGATTTAGTCCTGTTTAGACTAGACCAAATCAAGATCAAAATCAAGGGGACAAGTAAGTACTTGTCAGAAGTACTATTGAGATCCATAGGTGCACTCTAGGTCAGACTAAATCTGACTCCTATCAGATGGTTTCATACATCTGAAAAAAACAGTGTGATCCTGTTAAAAAAGAGAATATAAACATTGATCCACCCCCACACGGAAATAAAATATGTATTTAAAATAAATGCGTTTGGTTGCAAAAGTCAGATCAAAAATTAGTTTTAGAATGCCTTTCAACTACTAACTATAACCATGAGCATATCTACCAAACTAATAATTAAAAAGTCTTTAAAACAATGGGTCTTTTCCTTCTGAACCACTGGAAGTCCATCTGAATTATTTTCCTAAACCTATATGCATATACAACAGTGTCTTGTGTACCATAAAAATGGACAAATGTATCCGTTTTTAAAATTCTGTTCTGCTCTGAATTTCTGCTGTTGGTGGTGTTTTCAATGTTTTAGGGTGGAATCCTGTGCATGTTTAGATGGAAAAAAATCTTTAAGACAAAACCAGAAGTGTCACAATAATATCACTTGCTTTGCCAGACAATCCTCTACCTATTTACTCAGAAATAGGTTTCTCAGAAATGTATTCTCAGGACCCCTGGGTAAATACAATTGTAGCCTTAGTAATTCATTATCTGCACAGTCCTATTGTCTTCTAGTGAGAAGTAAATCCTACAATATATACAGGACTGCAACATTTCTCATTGTTATTTCCTCTGGTGTTGTTTGTGCAAAAGATCTGTTGAAACTGTGTTCAACATATTTTAGCATTTTTATTATTAAGAGTGTGTCTAATTAAGTGAGAAAAGATAAGGATAGCTGTGTTGTTTTTTGATGTGACAGTTGTTCCAAGGAAGCAAATCATTAAGCAGTATTCCTAGCAATCCTGTGGATAATTTTGCACAAAGTTGGGTGGGAGTTGAGTGAATCCAGTTTTGCCAGCGTGTCATTTTACAACTTAGGATGAGAAGAATACAGATTTTTGGAATTTTTTTCCCTGTGCAAATGTGCTATAGTCAGGCAAAGGATACCTTTTTTTAGAAGTGCTGTAGTACTTGTGCAAAGCAGCAAATTTATGATGTTATTCAAATTCTTTGCCTGTGATTAATGTAAATGAAACAATTGCTAAGGGAAGTTTTATAACCCCTTCACCTTCAGTTCACATGTTTATGGGGATTGGCTTCAGTTATGATCTATGGTCTATAGTTGTAAAACTCTTTGTTGTACGATTATTTCTGATGTACAGTTGCCCCATCCTGGCTCCAAACTCTACTGAGGAGTGTCATAAATGACTTGTTTATAATATAGGCCTTTTTGCTGTACTGGCACTCACCACGCACCCCACTCCCAACTTAAGCCCAGTTCTGTAAAGTATCTTGGAATGTTCAATCTGCCAAATCCTCTCACAGAACTAATGGAGAATGATTAATATAATCATTTAGAATTTGGGGGTGTGGGTGAGGAACTGAACAGATTCTGCTGAAACTAACATGATTCAGAAGTAGGAGTACGTTTTAAACAGAACACTTACATAATTTTAGCTTTGTTACTTAGTGGGAGCAGGAGTTAAAAGTGACCAGCCAGTGCACTGTGGAGGGGAAGAGATGTGAAATGTGCATCGGAATCAAGGTTTAAAGGATCCACACATTGAAAAATAAAACCCACTTCCTCAGGTATCTCCCTTAAATGCACAACATGGTGGTGTTAGGTACATATGGCATCTATCACGTTGAAGATGAATGAGACGGAACGGGGGCTGGCTTCAGCTCGGAGAGGAGACCACCTGGGAACTGCATGTAGCCACCTCGAGTTCCACAGTGGGAGGAAAGTGGGATATAAATATAATAAATAATAAATAATAGTTACACCCTATTGAAACCAATGTGCAAACTGAGCAATGACTCAGATGTCCTATTCATTTAAATGGAAAGGTGCAATTAACCTATTCTAGCTCAATCCTCCACCTCTCATTTACCAAATGAATTGGCATTGCAAATTTCAATCAACACTGCGCATTGCACATTTCAGTTGGTACTCATCCAAGTTACATTGCATAAGAGATGCTTGAAATGTATTAGGGTACCTCTCTTTTCCATTTGTTATTTGTGCCTTTTCTTTTAATGTTGACAGCCATTGTACAAGTAGAGACATTATTGTTGCTGCTTAAGGAGGCCAGCTGTTCCTGTGTCTGTTCATATTTCTTAGGTGATTTTGTCTTTCCTTATGCTTGCCTTTAGCCTTCTTCAAGACGACTAGGCTTGTCTTGTGCCAACTGTCACACTACGACCACCACGCTCTGGCGCAGGAATGCAGAAGGGGAGCCTGTGTGTAATGCCTGTGGCCTGTACATGAAACTTCACGGGGTAAGCAGCTATTTCAGTGCTATCAGAAGCTATTTTAGTCCTTGCTTGATGCATGTTTCATAGGCATGCCATCCTGCAACTATTCCTCAGATGAAAGTTGCATGAGGCTTTATGAGAGAGTTGTCCCAGGTCCCATTTTTGCTAGAAAGACTGGGAGAACATGGGAATTGTTTTTCCATGTATCCAGTTATGACCATATCAACTAAATGATATGGGAGAATGACAACAGATGAGTCCAGAGCATCACACATAATCCCTCATAAAGTTCTCTATTAAATATTTTGGTAAAATATATTATATAAAAGAGAAATAATGGATTGCAGCTAGTGGCAGACTTTTAAGTACCACAAACTGTTAAGGAAAAGAGAGCTGTCTTTTTCATCTTGGAGCCAATAGGCATCTTTTCCCTAACTTTATCTGGAAAGTTCACAGAATGTTTTCTCAAAATACTTCTCTTATTCATAAAATGGCTACTGTGGGTGTGGTTGGTCACAAAACCAACTGGTGAAATGAAAAGAAGAGTAACTTATCCAAGAAGCTAAATACTTGATTCCTAAATTAAGTGGTTTTATATTTTGGTGTGCATTCCAAAATAGAAAAACACTCTTTTGAACCCAAATAAATATGGTGTTGCCTTGAAGTATGCTAGCTTCCCAGCTAAAAGAAAAACATGTTTAAAATCTTAAAAATAAGATAAAAATATAAATAGGCAAGGAACTGAATGAGCAGCAAGAGAGCTATCTCTGGGCATCTTGGTGCTCATAGATATCCCATTATAAACTCCAGGTTTACTGCATTTCTCTAACTTTCTAGCCATAAACCATTTTCTCCAGCAAGTACACACCCCTGAGAATTGGTAGAAAGAAAGCAGCTACCTGCAGGTTTGGTGGTTTCTCCCACTTTTTAATCATACAATAATAAATATGGTGAGAATATCTGTGGTGTAGTGGTTAAGAGCATGAGGCTAGGACCCAGGCAATCTGCGTTCTAGTCCCTGCTCAGCCATGGAGCCAACTGGGTGACTATGCACCAGTCACAGACTCTCAGCCCAGCCTACCTCACAGGGTTGTTGTTGTGGGGATAAGATTGAGAGCAGCAGGAGGAGAATGAGCTAATTGTAAGGAAAAAGTGGGATATACATCTAATAATAAACAAACAAGATAGAAGATAGGGTATAAGATAATGCTCCCAAGTTAATAACCACTGAAAAAGACTGTGTTTCTGTGGGATTCCCAAACATCAAGTATGTTATTCAAATGAATTACCTATTGCATGGCTTTGGACATGGTGTAGCATTCATTTGGGGTCTGGGTCGGCACTCTCAGTGCTTCCACCTGAGCTCCTTGTTAAGCATGCTGAACCTGTGTTCTGTCTTGCGTGCCAGCAAGGTCATGTGATCTTCACTTCAGTGCATGTGCAACTTTGCATGGAGTGCAGATGGAAGACTAAGTGTCACTGTTTGCTGCCTCAACGTGCAAAACAATCCAATCTTTTATTTGTATGCATAAGGTGAGAAATAAGTGAAATTTTGTATGAATGGTTTGTATGTCCTCCTTTACAGAGGACTGTCCTCTGTTCACAGCAGACTGAGTGAGCACTTGAGAGTGACTGTTTTTCTAGGTAAATTGTTTCTAAATTTATATCTATACATATAAAGTAGCATATACACTAATCATAAGTGTGCCCTTTTTCATCTTCCTTCCTTAATGATACATTTCCTCTTTTTCAGGATAGTTAAGTGGCCACCCTAATGAATAGTGGCCATGTAATGAATTAGAGAGCAGTCCTAAGTGGGGTGAGGGAGGGCAAAGAGGCCCATCATCTGCTACTTCCAAAGCCTTGCCAACTCATGCAAGAATGAGTAGCTTTAAATCACAATTTTTCCTTCTGTTTACTTTTCAGCCATGAAATCGGTGTATAATTCCCTGTCAAAAATGTGCAAATTTCCCAGCCACTTAAAAAGATAAGGGCAACTCCTTAGAGGTTTTAGAAATGGAAGGAATGCATCAGGTGCCTCTCATTTCCTCTGCCCCACTCAGCTACCAGCTGCCACATGCTCCAAGAAGAGGTGGCTGCACCAGTTCTTTCCGGACTAGCTGGAGACTTGGGAAGAGTCCCAAAGGTGGACAGCACTGAGAAGTGTCAGTGCAGTACTGAAAATCCAGAGGCCACCTTACTAAGGGGGAGAACTACAGCCCACCCCCTTGGGGTGCATTTACATTCACTTTCCCCCAGTTTCTGTGTTCCAGCTGATAGCCAGGCACTTGACAACTGTCTATCATTTGTTATGTAACCTGTATGCAGTTTCGCTGTAACTGACAAGGCAATAGACCAGCCAAGAGGGCTATATCAAAAAGGCAAAAGAGTACGCTTGTGCAACTCTCAAAGGCTGACCCCGCCCCCCACCAATTAAATTAAAAATAAACTTAAATAAATAAGAACTGCATATATACTGGGGTCCAAAAAAGAATTTTAAAATCCCTCAATTGTGCTTTTTGGGGTTCTTAGGTAAAAATGGCAGAGAAGGAAAAGAGGTCGCAATTGGAGCAGATAGATGAACAACGTCTCCATAGGAGTGGGGATGGTGAAGACAAGATGGGTTGTAGCTCATTGGCAGTGTACCTTGCCATGTTTAAAAACTCATGCCATTTCTAAATGCTAATTCATTGGTTTCTTTACATGTTGGCATTCTTTTTTAGGTGCCCCGACCCCTTGCTATGAAAAAAGAGGGAATTCAAACCAGGAAAAGAAAACCGAAGAACATATCTAAGATAAAATCTTGCTCGGGTAAATATAATCAAAGAGTGTGGAGGGACAGACTTGGCCACCTGGAGAATACACGATTATAACTTGGTGTGCTGCTATTGCAGGTAATAATAGCAATAATGGTGTTCCTATGACTCCAACTTCCACATCTTCTACGAACTCAGACGACTGTAGAAAAAACTCTTCACCTAGCACACAAACCACAGCCTCAGGGGTAAGTGATAAAATAGTATCCAGACTTGTAAGCAAGTGGATTTCTGTGGCATGTGTTATCTCCATTTTTATCTTATCTAGCAGAACAATAATCTAAATAAACTTTTCAGTTTGTTTGCTGATACTGGAATGGGAATTTCTCAGGAAATTACCTATAAACGCAAACACAATGTAAAACTAAAGTACTTAACAAACATCTTTATTAAGATACAGATATGAATTTAGATATGAATGACTTCTTTCATATTTGTATTGTATTATGTTGTGCATTGCATAGCACTCAGTTCTATGCTAGGTGCTGGCTTTTATCCAGGATGATCCTGATGCTGGAGCAGATTTTCCATGTGCACTTAACACATATGGTTTTTGTATAGCCTGAAGTGCCTGATCCTGTCTAATCTTGGAAGCTAAGCAGGGTCACACCTGGTTAGAATCTGGATGGGTGACTTGAGTATATGATTCTTGTTGCAAACTGCCCAGAGAGCTTTGGCTATGGACAGCATAGAAATGCAATAATAATACTATTGTATAATGCAACATCCTTCAAGTTTGGCATCCACACTACATGGGGGATTTACAGTCATAAATATACAGCAATATGCTGTACCTCATGGGTACAGAATCACAGAATGCCTCTCCATTCATTTTACTTGCTCTTGGCATGGGGCAATTCAGTCTAGAAAAGGCTTACTTATAATTTGTGGAAAGGCAAAGTTAGAAGTTCTTCCATTTAGAAGAAAATGACTACTTGGATTTCAAATGTTTTAGCATCTAGTGCAATGAAGAGCTTGTTAATAAGGTCAGTTATATAAATGCATATCATCCAGGTTCATGAGATTAGTATGAACATTTCTATTCATGCTCTAGTCAGCTAATGCTGAAGCTGGACTGTCAACATGTTTAATTTGAACTAGTGGTGATTTAATTATCTCCCTTTTAATTATGCAGCCCATGAGTGGGATCACCAATTAAACTATTACATTTTAATTCATTTGAATAGTATGAAAATCTCCATCTTCAGTGCTTTTTGAGAGATTGTGGAATAACCAACAATTTAACAAATCATTCCGATGTTTTAATTAGGGGAAAACAACTGAGCCCAGTGTACTGTAGGTGGACGAGACCCCAGCCCCACCCTCAAGGACATGGGGTTTCATTTGTTAAACCCCAGCTTCGACTTCTAAGAAAGGGAGAGGAAACCGTTGTAGGGCCACTGACCTACAGGGATGGAGAGAATCAGTCAGGGAGAAATACACAGAAGTTTTGTTCAGGCATTCAAGGGAAAGTCCGAAGGTTTGAAATTGTGCTGTGAGGGGCCATGCAGGCTGGACCCACCTAGTCCTGAGCTTGCCGTGTTGGGTTGGCAAGGCCTGCACAGGAGGTCTCCTCATGGTTGCTGGAACCCTAATAGAACTCTGTGCCTAAGCAGGAGCCCAGTTAAGGCAGGATAACCATATTTATAATGAGCAACAGTTTAGAGCTCCAGTAACAATCAAAACTGTAGTTAATCTAACTGTGTAGTTAATCTGACGGCCACTATGGGGAGCGGAGAGGGAGTGCACAAAGCCAGAGGGAATCAAGGATCAGTCCCCAGCATCCAAACACAGATACCTGGAAAATACCCATATTAACATTGTGTAATTTCCAGAACAAATGATGTGTATTTTTAAGTAGCCTTATATTTTTATTGTCTTTGTATAGTTCATATACAAGGGGTTTTTTTTTTAACAGAGTGCCTGTAAATGGTTTAATAGATGTATACCTTATGCATACCAAAAGGTACCTCAATATGGCTTTTTCCACTCAATCACTATGTTTCTTATAATCTGCTGAGTTCCAGTGTCTCTTCTTGTATGTGACCCTATCAGTTTGCATTTATTTCACTGCTCAAATTTGCAGTTACTTTGTAAAAAAGGAAGTATGTCATCCTGCAAAGGTTGCCATGCATGGACATCTGTGGCAGTGCCACTAATTTGCCTTTCAGCTGGCTGCCCCCTCCCAGTTAGGATAACATTGCACGATGCTGGAAAAGACATGTGCTTCCTTCCCTCAGTACAGTCCTTCATAGGCATACTTGTCAGTAAGTAAGTAAGTTGACTGAGTTTCAAGGAATTTACTGAGCACATTTGCCACTTCAGTGAACTCAGCAGGTCTTCTGTCGGAGTCAACGTGCTGAGACTCGCACTGTACGGCTACAATCCTGCGTTCACTTTATCTATCTGTAAGGCACTTGTCCATGTTGCTTCCCTCAGGAAGTATGTTGCTGGGTGTTCAGTTCACATGCTATTCAGTTGTTCATGCATGCTTAGAGGTGTCGCTGTTTGCCCCCCTTGTGTTTTAGACTCCAGCTGCAAGCATTTCTGACCATTGACCATGCTGGCTAGTGCCAATAGGAGTCGAAGTCAGGACTGGCATCAAGGCTAGGATTAGCAGAGCATCTGCTGAGACCTGAGCCCACTTCCCAACAGGGGCCCTCAGGGAAGAGCCTTCTCGATTTGGTCCTTCTCTTCACCACTGCAATTTGCCTGCTTACCTGCTTCTGCCTCTTACCCAGGCAATGGCAGAGAGAGGAGCAAAGCAATAGATGCCACTGCCAGCATGCTCACTGGTTCTTTGCCAGTCAAACAAGAGAGTGGTAGCGACAGTGAGAAAGGATGAGGAGCCATAGCAGCAGGTGACAGTCATATTGCAAAGATAGACTGTTGAGGGCATCTCTCCAAAACTTGGAGCTGCCACTGGCTGATGGTCAAAACAACTGGATTAGGAAAGACTGGTAGATGACCTCTTACATTTGCCAAAGTGCTCAAAATACAAGTAAGGACAATGGATGTGGAGTTGCAAAATGGTTGTGGAAAAGAAAGAATGGAAACAAGGAACATCATCAGGGTTGGTGAGGCAATGTATGTGTACAACATGCAACTGAAAGAAGATAATTTTTTAAAGTCTAGAAGTTTTGGCAGTAAGTGGCCTGGACAGTGACTCAGAGGAAAAGCATTTGAAACATTTGTCAGAAAAGGAAAGTGGGTTTCCAAAGAATGAAAGGCAGCATTACCTCTAAGAATTTCTGCAGGAGGAACATGAAGTATGCCAGTATCTGATATGCATGTGCATATCTTTCAAGATTCCCACATGCAAGTCTGGCTAGATTTGGTAACATTTCTCAAAACTGTGAGAACAGTGTTTAAAGCCAAATGTACACACAGCTATTACTTCTCCTCTTTAGACACCAGCTGCAGGAAACAGTAATGTAGCCTTGGGCTTTCGCACAACAATGATTAACAAATAGCAGCATCACCCTGCCCACTATATTTGCTAATACGTATCATGTGAAAATGAGCTGATACTGTATCCTTGGCTGGACTGTTAGAAAGGTAGAAAACTTGTTCCACAGAAGACCTATGCTGGGAATAGATGCCAAATGAATGCCCATTTTGCTTGCTTGAGATCTGCAAGCTTTCAAATGTATTTGTCAACCCATTAAAAAGTTAGGTTTAAACTCCTTTAAATAGTTCTGATTTTAGATGTTCTGAATGGGGTATGGACTGGTATATTTACAGCTATAAGTGGTTCCACGTTACCTCCATTATTAGAGGCACTTGTTAGAGAACACAAGCAAGAAGGTGCTCTTTCTTTCAGATATGTTTGTGGGCTTTCCATAGGCATATGGCGGGCTGCTGTGCAAACAGAATATTGAACTAAGAGGGGCATGTGGACTGATTCTGCATGGCTTTTCTTAAGTTAATTATCTTTTGTAAGCCGCTTTGGGAGGGCTTTTCCAGAAGTGCATATAATAGACATATAATCTGTCTGGTGGTAGGGACAGATTCACTTTGCTTCGTGCCCCTGGCTGCTTTTGAACTAGATCCAAGCAGAGGCATTAAGCACAGGCCCAAAGCACACATGTGTGTAAGCTAATAACCCAAGACCAGCATCCACATTAGCACATACTTACATTTTATCAGTATTGAAGAGTGACTTTAAGCATATGCAGAATGCTATTCTCCCACCTTTGAGCAATTCCAGTTTTCTTCTTTTCCCTCTACAAGTAACACACACACACCTCTCACGGATATTAAAACCGAAGCATTCCTTTCTAAAACTTAAGCACTGACTGTACTTATTGAAGAAAAACTATATTCTATTTCTCTCCACCTCACAATCTATCCTCATTTTTCTTTCTCCCAGCAACTCTTCACAAGCGCTCCCTCCCTCCCTCTCATATAAAGTTGCAACTCTCACTTACCTGACCATAGGATTCCAGCTCTCACCTCCTCCTCTTCCTTCTGAGCAAGCTCCCACTTTTCTCCCCCCCCCCCCCAATTTAAGCCAAGCTTTCATCAGGATTCACATCAAGGAATCTGTTTTCAATACACAGGCTGAGTTACAGTTGAAGTAGCTTTGAGCCTCTTCGGAGTGTCTTTCTCTCACCACTGGAACCAGATTCCTTGTCAGAAAATAAAATATAAGTGACAAAATATGCACAGGTCTGGCCTGAAAGCAGCCCAGTCACCAGACTGGGGTGGGGCAGGTGGTTTCTTAAGCCTGCAGTACCATGTTCAAAATCCAGGGTTTATTTTGGAATACACATGCAGGGGATGGGTTACAAATTAGCCCTACGCACATCTACCCTTTCCCCATGGGATGAATGAATGAGTATGGGACTAGGGAAGGGGTGCAAGGAGCCCTGCCCTTGGCATTGTCACACTCTTCCTGGCTCTTCCCTGATGCCTGTGCCCGTCTGGCCTCCAGGCCCGAATGGGAGTCTGGTTGTCCTCATTTCACCTCCTGCACGCAGTTGGGACTTTTGGGTAAGCAGGGCTCCTGACTGCGTAGAGAAGCCCCCACTTAGTGCAGCTGGCAGCCTGCCCCCTTTGGGCCTTCACTGAATGGGAGAGAGCCAGGGGTAACAGGAAGCAGGGCCCACTCCTCCGTTCGTGCATCAACCCTATGTGTGGAAGGACCAGAATCAAGGATGGGCAAAGCTGGTCCTTGCAGAAGGTG